GACCTTGTAGTCAAAGGCGATGCGGCCGCGTAACAGTGAGATTATCGAGGGAATGGGCGAGATGCGCCATAACAGCGGGCCAGGATATCTGGCAAGAGGATGAAGTGTGAGGTTGTAGATTGCCGTCAAGACTACGTATGCGACGAACTGGACTTGTCAGATCAATGTCAAGAGGAGAGCTGAAAGACGTACTGCAGCGGGTGCCCAGATCGCAATTAGACGGACGCGATCCTCGTCTACAAAACCCATGGTAAGGTTCGCTCTCTACTCAGTCGTTTTTCTAACAAAAAGTCGGAAAGAACAGAAAGCAACAACCAAGCTGACACAAATGAAGTAAGGCTGAACAAGGCAAGAACCGCACGACGATTGAGATATACCAAAGCCGACCGATCCCTGTGACCATGACGCTACATGCACTACAACGCGTAGTCATCCGTCGCTGCCATAGCGGCAGCAGCTCGCCAAAGCATATCCGACGCCATATATGCAGAGCTGTCAAGAAGACTTGCCAAAAGCGTCTGACAATTCTAGCCGACTAACCGCGAGGCACTAGAAACCAGATTGTTGTGTTCCACAGCATCTGTCATTCCACTGAGGCGTCTTTGCAGACGTTGCCGACATGCAAAAAGTGATCACGCCTTCTGTGAGAAGGGCAAACTTCCATGCTTGGGGTTGGATATGCTTTAGCGTGATGCAGCGTGGGCGCCCCGCCTGCCCGCATGTTGACCCCGCGCAGGTTTCCACAGTCGAGGCTAGCGAATGAGCGTATGGCCGATGCATGCGACTCGCGCATGGCAATGGCATGATCAGGCTTGAATCGTGAGCGTGGCACAGTAAGCAAGACGAATTGCATTGTATCGACGAAGACTGGTCCGGACGTGGTCGCCTATAGCGTGGTCACAGTGCCACACGCACTCGTTCTTCTGTTGTGCTCGGTCTGACAATCTTGACTGCTTCGTGGGTACCTAGGTATCAAGCTCGCATGTGAGATATCCGTGCAACCTGAGAGGTAGTCTGCGTCGTCACCACTTTCAGGGGAGATTGTGTGTCGTGAAGCTCGATGTGGTAGTTTTGACAACTAGTTGGCTATGAACGGGTGCGACACGCGCGGGTCATGTTTCTTGTGGTGCGACGGGCGGTGTTATGACCCCTAGGCCACTGGCAGCTTTGATAGCATCGAACCAGATGTTTCCCATGTGAAAGTATCCGGAATAGGACCTGATTCGATTAGCGAACGTGGTTCTACGCCACAAGTAACCGGAACACCCACGGATGTAGCCCGTCAACTAACTCCTCGGGCAGGACGACGCTGTGGTCAACAACCGCAACCTTGAAGCCCTGATCAAGCTTCTTCTTCGCAACCGCAGGCACGGCATCATTGAACCTCTTGATGTTTTCCTGTGCCTGCATATCGGCTCCCTGTATGATCTTCGCAACCAGCACCGCAGCGTCCGGGCACATGTCCAGCACGTCGTCTAACAGCGCTGCCAAACGCTTCGGCGCATCTGCCCACTTCTCTTCTGGGCTTTCAGGACGAGCCATATCGTTCGTGCCGATATGTAACAAGACGACATTCGGTCGCATCTGTAGTCCAGCTTTCATCAGGCTCTGAAGCTCGCTGATTGTGGCCCCTGGATGCCCTTCGTTGTCATTGTTGGGCATGAGCCCAGAGCGCTGCGTGCCGACAAAGTTCACCGACGCGTAGCGCGCACGTATAAGCGCGTGGATCAGCTGTGCGCGGTACCCATCTGTGCCGTTGTCTGCACCCGGCTGGCCACCCCAAGTTATCGAGTCGCCGAGCGGAAGTATGCGTAGTGGGAGGTTGAGGTTCGCGCCCGGTCGTTTGTGGGGGAAGCTTGACATCAGCAGCAGGATTACTATGGAGATGTTAGCACCATACAATGAAGACTCAGGTGTCAAACATGGGCAGCATCTTGGAGTGCCAATGCGACAACTGGAGTTGAGTCTAACGCGCCCGAAACCTTGGAACGCTGACGCGACGCACCTATGCAGAAAAAGGCCACTACGCCCAGGCCCTTCAGAACCAGCTTGTTCCGCGGACCTCCCGCAGATGGGAGCATCGGATGATATCGAGACTGTTCATCAGTCGCCTAGATGGTGCTGCTTCAATGGCATTGTGGGGGCGCAGCAAACAGGAGTCCAGCTGAGACCGACGGCTAGCGTCATAGCTCTAGCAATTGACCGACCTTGCGCTAATTATAAGCAGTGAGACTTTGGCTGAGAGTCGCGCATATCAAACAGGAATATATTGAAACTCCAAGTTGTGTTCGCCAATGGGGATGGCGCGGGGGCCCGGGCAGCCACGAGTGGAAGGGCCCACCTGCCGGACCCTTAAGATCCCCTAAACACTCACAGCACGCTCTTCCAAGGTTTCCTTCACGACATCAGGGTATCACTTTCGCTTTCCTCATGCGATCGAACGCAGTCGTCCACGTTTCCTTCGTTCCAATCTCCTCCGTGTATCCCACCTTGTGCGAAGCTTCCATGCTCATCTGGCGGTCGAAGTCGAACATCGTCATGATGAAGTACTAATACTGGTCAGCTACTGCACGCGTACACGACGCAACCAAATATCCGACATACCTGGAATCCGGGATGCGTGATATCGCTATCGACGCTTCCCTTCTTAAGATTGTGCTTCTTCTCTAGCTCTTCCCACTCCTTCTTGTGCGCGTCAATGTACGCGCCTGGCTGTGGTGAACCCTCTTCAGGCCCCGTACCCTTCAGCCCGAAGTAATCACAAATTACCGGCCATTTGCCGCTCCAGCTGTCTTCCTGGCCACCCACGTTAAAGCTTTGCGACGCGGTTTTCTCTGGGTTTAAAGACGCGTGGATGGAAAAGTGCGCAACCATGTCTTGTGGAGACTCATTGTACTTGTTCACCCACGACTTCTCGGTACCAGGGAATGGGCATTTTGCGCCTTCGCCCTCAACAGATCGATATAGCGAGAGGTACAATGCCAGTGTTTGGGCAAGGCAGTATGCGTTGTTGTTTGGCACGAAACCAATGATGTTGTCTGGCCGGACCTCGCACCAGCTCCAGTTCTTCCCCTTGGAGATGCGTTTCAAGCAGTCAATTTGGTTGTAGTAAAAAAGCTGGGAAAGGTACGGTTCGGGGATCGGTGGCAGCGTCTCCTTAAGTGGTAGGTCGTTCGCGAATGGGAACTTTTCTAACATCTGGCAACCGTAGATCTTGGTTCCTGTCGGAAGCAGTACGTACGATAGTTTGGAGGACAAGTGATCAATCGCAGTCACGGCGCGCTCCAACATTGCTTCGTTGGTCTTGCACTCGGCTTCTGGTTCATCGATCTGCTTGTATGCTTGGTCGTGTCAGGCCTTGTGATACCTTTTAACAGTTGTTACTTACAATAGAAGTACACTTGAGTCACGGTCTCAACATCTTTGACCTTTTCTTTGATCTGCTTCTCGAGCTCTTCTTGTGTCCCTTTGACCAGATCGACACCAGACACGATTTGCAGTCTTGGGTCGTCAGGCCAGAGAGCCATCTCACGTGTCAGCGGCCGATTTACCATAGCTGTAACTCTGGAGAAAGCATCCTTGGAAGGGTATCCGTTCAAGATGGCATTGACGATGGCCCATCCCGAGATGCCAGAAGCACCGTAAATCAGCGCGTGGTTTCCCATGATCTAGTTATGAGCTGTATGTCAATAGAGAGTATCCAAGGGTATGCGCAGTGTAAGGCTCGTAGAAGCAATAACGCGACGCGTGAAGGCCAAACCCTGTTATATGTATCTAGAACATTACCACATTGAAACCAGCCCGCATTATCTTAGTATACTATCATTGGATGAGCCAGCTATGCTGCTGCATGCAAGTACCTGCTGCTTGGAACAGCCCGGGCTGAGGATGCGGAGAACAATATCCAACGAGTGCCTGACGAGCTCTTTCCCCGCAGCGTCATCCGCCATGACTCGCCCTCTGACAATCCTTCGGCTACGGTCCCGGCGACTTGCCCTACTGACTATGGCCGATGCAACGCATGCTCGTGTGCGATGCGAAGGCATTCCAGATGGACGAGCGTCGCGACGGGCTGAGGCATAGTGAGCTTTGGCGGCAGAAGGAAAGTGCTAATGAGGCTAGCGCATCGGGACCCTCGAGTGGCCTTCTTGTCTTCCAAGGTTAGAAATTACTGTCACCACCACGGTCTCGTTGCCATGGTGTCATGCTCTTAAGCCCGATCGTGTTGCAGCAGTAAGTAATCCTACGTAGACTTCTGAGCTCGCACTGACGTATTCAGGTATGCCTGTAGGTCTGGCTTGCGAAGGCTTTCCAGGCTACAATGCGTTCGCCTATGCATTGGCACCTCTGGGAGGACCAACCTCCCAAGCAACCCCATGGTGATCTCTAGCAGAATCTATATGAGAAATGTCGCACTTATGTGCCAGTCTTGCGATGTAACTAAAGGGCGTCTGTGGTAGAGTATATGCGCATCTTGTTTGCTTTCTTCAACATTCGCTATACATCCGTAAACCATAATATCTCATCACTGCTCGATCTCTACATTTGGAGCTATCTTCACCTTCACCTTCACTTTCGTTTGACCGGCCGTTCCTCTCAGCCCACCCCACGTTTCCGGTCGGTGACCGACGGTGTTCTTGTCACCTTCACCTGCGCTTACTCAAGTGGCAGCTAGCTTTACTTGCCTAGAGCCACCAAACACAAATTGCTACCTCTTTCTCGCTCGATTCGCGGGGCCATACTACTACGATCACCTTGCAGCATCAAGTTCCACCACAAAGACTTGATTTGACCCTACAATACCGATATGGCGCCGACGAAAGCGACCGCACGCATCTCAGGCAATGCTAGAAGCAGGCTTGCGACTAAGCCAGCCGATCGTCTGCGAGTAGCGGTACGTATCCCAACCAGAACTCTCACTGCCAGATAAGATGACTGACTTGACCACGCAGAAGCAACAACTCCAGGGTTCCAACAACGCACAGGAAAAGCTATACACCATGTTCGAGGATACGATGGAAGATCTTGAACAGACCAAGGACAAACTCGAGGCGGCCGAGAACGAGCTAGAAAAGACGCAGAGTCAACTTACTACTACTACTGCGTCTATTCCAGCCCGTTCTGACCTCAATATTTGAGTATGCAGGCTATCCTTTTTCTTCCACGAAGTGGAACTGTGGTTTGGTTGATGGTACCTTGGGTGTGTGTCCTCGCGAACCATGGAGCCCGTCCGCAGAGTCAACTTGATAAAGCGGAACACGACGCTAATTTCTGGTACCGCGGCTGGAAAAACATGGACAACAGTTACCAAGCTGCCGATAGCACTTTGAAGGCACACGAACACCAAATTCATCAACTGGAAGCCGAGTTGGCGCTCGAGAAAGAGAGGGCGGAGAAGAACGAGAACGCTCAAAAGATGCTCGAGCAACTCAAAAACCAATGGTCGTTCTTCTCCCATATCCTCGGTAACGAAGACTCCGGACGCTAGATCCACGGCATATTGAAGGAAGGCGAACATACTTATCGAATCCGGGGATAAGTTTTGCCATGGCGTGAGGAATTACGAGAGAATTGGTGTTATGGAGATGATCTCTGCGACATGCTGAACCCTGATGGTATTAGCAGTATCCTACCCTGATGTTCGTCACATTGCAGAAGAGATGTAGTAGGCACCAAATCAATGGTTATGAGCATTTTGTGCTTAAAAGCTATGGATTCACCAAGACACTACAATTAAAGAAAGCCTCTGCTCGGTTCACGAAACGCTTCATCTTAATGCAAATTACACCAATACCCCTTTGCCTCCGTAATCGGCACCCCAGTGATACTTCTCGCCTTTAACTTTCCCGCATCGCATGTATCCCACCTACATTCCCTTTAGCCCAATCTACTTCACGACGTCTTCTATGCGACGAAACTTACTGTGAGAAATCGCATCCACACGCCTCAGACACCGTCGCTGATAGGGCTTTGCCCGTGATCCCGTAACAAGCATCACCGTAGATGATTTGGGTCTTACCGCCTTGTAGGTCGATGGTGCCGCAAATGGGAGGCCCGGGTGAAGTGGGCGCCGCAGATGCGGAGATGGCGAAAATTGAAAGGAACGTAGGAGTAGTAAGATGCATGTTGAAAAGGTTGCAAGCGGAGGAACCTTGCTTAGATCGGCTTTTCTAGTTCCTAGGCGACTACGGGGAAGATGGACCTTCTTGGAATGGAGAACATGTTTGCATAGACGTAGTATTTATGTGAAACCGATCTCGGCGTTTACATGCGGTGTGATGTGTAACGTGTGGGGGCAGATGTAAGATCTCGCCTTCTGATCATATGCGGGTGCTCTATTACAAGGTACGTTCGTGGACGGGCGTCTTCGGTGGCGCATAACATGTATTGACAAAGAATCCTGACCTGCATGATCTGCATGTAAGCGCGTAACTCGTTAGTCACAAGCATGAGTGAGATTACCATCGAGACCAATCGTGGAGTATATATTTTGTTTTGTTCCTTTGTACTTCTAACCAACCCAGTCGATCTCCTTCTCGTACTGCCAGAAAGCACCGGTCTTGTTCTGGATGTCGTGGATCGCGAGCATTACGGGGGTTTGAGCGCCTTCTTCTACAGTCCTCGTTCCGTTGCCTAGATTTGGTGAATAAAGTCAGTACATGTCTCACATGATGCACACGAGGAAAGGTTTGCTTACCCTTTGTCATGTCCGTGTTAACATAACCTGGGCAGCAGGTATTGATCAATACTTTGCTTCCCTTCTCCTTCTCTTGTCTGGCCAGCGCCCGTGTGCCTCCAATTAATCCTGCCTTGCTCACAGCATACCCGGCACTAGGGAAGCCAGCATCCTTCTCCTTGCCAGCTTCGACAGCTGCAACAAAGTCCTTCATGATGCTTGTGACATCTTCTTCGGTCTTGGAGGCGAGGAAGCGGTTGCGAACTTCTTCGGAGTATTTGTTGAGCTTGCCAGCCATGCTACCGAGGTTCACGATGCGACCGGTGGGCTTGAGGAGGGGGAGGAAGGTGTGGCACGCCTCGAGCGTCTTGTAGTAGTTGCAGTCGAGGGTTGTTTTGACGAGGTCGGCATCTAATTATGTTAGGGACGGCGGATTGTACATCGGAAGGAGATACTTACTGAAGCCGTCCAACGCGATACCGGCGTTGTTGATGACAAAGTCAATGCCGTCCCCATGAGCTTGCTTCAAGTGGTCCGCAAGGGTCTTGATGCTGCTGCTGCTTGTGATGTCAAGCAGATGGAACTTGATCTCAGAGAGACCACCGTCGGCCTTCAATGCCTTGGCCTGCTTCAATGCCGCATCTTGCTCCAAATCCCTAACTGCAGCTTCTCCTCTGCCCTGGTCGCGAGCCGTCAGATAAATCAGAAAGGGTCCGTTGTTGAGCGGCGACTTGGGGTACTGCAGAGCGAGCTGCTGCACGATGGCGCGTCCGATGCCCTGTCAATGTTAGTTTGGTACTCCTGAAGAGGCTGTGGACGTGTGTAGGTACCTTGTTCGCGCCGGTGACGACTCCTACTCTGCTGTATGACATGATTGTTTGTGTGCTTCAATCGAATGGTGTTTGGTGGAAGGAAGAGGGGAGTGATATTCTGAAGTATCTTCCCCACATTGTACCATTAATCATCATCGAAAGAGCTTCGCTGTTCGGAGTTAGCAAGGTCGATACGTCACTAATCATCGGTGGATCCAGATGTTCCGGCCTCCTGCGGGCATCGTGCGGCACCAAAGACGCTATTCCCAATAGGGCTAACACTGCCGCGGCCACGCTCTCTCGATTTCGCTGTCTTTGCCTGTGGATGTTCACTACACCACATGAACCAGCTCAGCATTCTTGATTACTGATCGGACCGAGCCTTGACAAACTCTCCATTAACTCCATAGTTTTCTACGGCGCGGTTGTCATACCTAGCAACTTGCATACACAGCCATCGGCCATCATTCGTAACCTCTAACACAGGCACGGTAGATGGATTGTCTGATAATTGCTGCATGTCCTTCCACTCGGCGTATCGCTCCCCGTCTGCAAGTACAAATCGTAGTAACTCGCTTCAGCCGATTTGCATACGAGGAAGTTCAGCTCTAGACCGCATGTTAGCACCGCCGACAATGAGCCGAACATGCCTCCTTCCTGAGTACTTACGTCGTCCATAGCTACTGCTCTGCACAGTAATGATAGTATCGCCCTCCAACCCCCATGCCGTAGTCTCCCCAGTGGCTCCCCAGACCAACGGCTTGTAGCTTGTCGATGCGGTCGCAATGTTCAGATACTGGCTTGTCTTTTTCGATTGGATGGTGCCGCCGATGGTAAACTCGTCAGCTGCGGTTTCGGGTCCCAGCACAGGGATCGATGCTATACGTGTTATTAACAAGTTTCTGGAAAAGTAATAAAGCTGAATATCAAGAGAAGGAAATCAGCATACCATTCTTAGCACTTGCTTGCAAGTATAGATGGTAAATTGGGTCGCGAACGCCACGTATTTTGCCTACGGTTGCTGCGGCGCTCTGAGCATTTTCAACCGGCGCAGCGAGTGCGCCCGATGCTACCAACAAGATTTGAGCGAAGAACGACAACATCGCGAAGAAGAACCTGAAGCCCCAATATGCAAGACTGCGACTCGATTCAGTCCCTGGGTCTCCTTATATGTGATCGCAACTTCGCATTACGTGACCCTAGTTTGCAATATAGCAGATTAATTACGGTCGCGTCACGCGTAGAGATGTTTACCACCGGATATAACGCATCTGCATCCCTGTCGTTCTACATCCGTCGAAAGGAACCACCGAGACAGGCACAACATTGTGCATTCGGTACTATCTGAACATCGCCCGGATTGAAGAAGCCAGGACGCGATACTGGAGGGACGCGCTAACGCTTCGGGTTAGCGCGGAACGCGAAGGTCATTTACTTGGCATCTAGGCAGTCGCCTCCCGCCTCACCTGCAACCACCTACCATTATCGACCCAAACTTTTGTTCCGCAGTGCTCGGGCTGTACGATCGTACCCACTGGATTTGATGACAACGAACGCTTATGATGGTCGGGCTTACAACAATCACGTCGCCCACGTCATGTGGCGCGACTAGCAGCAGCTATGATCATCGAGCCGCACGCAAGAACATGGACAATGCAACTGAGCAGCAAATGAACGACCGTGACGATGCTATATCTATATCTTCATCTTCAGCGCGAGCCTCTGCTGCTACCGGATCATCTACGCTCGCCACCCCAGGTTCCTTACCAGCTCCCGAAAACGTGGAGTGTGTTGAGACTGGTGCACAGAATATGGATCGCTACATCGCACTTGGCTGCCTTCACTTCAAGCACACATTCGACTTTAGTTCAATCTCACCATCGAGTGGTGCTTGGGTCGAGTTACTACAACAAGAGCTTCCCGACGAGATCAAGGCCAGCATCGGTATTGAAGCATCACGACTGCTTGAAGCTCAGTGGATTCGGATATTCGCGCGTAGAGGAACGCCTGGTAATGCGTCCCACCACGGCCTTCTTCGCGTCTATCTTTTGCCAGAAGACTGGGCTCGTCGTACGATTGACCGTAACAGCAAGAGCTTGAAGAACGCTCTGCGGACACTGCTCCAACAAATTGACATCTCACCGAGTACTTGGAATGGAGACTCAAATCCTGATGAGACGCGTTACTTTGATCCCTGGGCTGATGTAGAACCTTTCTCGCTATACTACCTTTTCAACAAGCTACCATCACCTGCGCCCGACGTGGGGAGGATCAAGTGTCGCTATACACGTGCTGCCGTACAAGACGTACTAGATTCTGCGGCAGTCTCAAAGTGGTCGGAGCATGGTGAACAGGCTCTACCGGGGCTCAAAACAAGATTGTACGCGTATCAGACACGGTCGGCGAGCTTGATGCTGCAACGGGAAGCTTCGCCACAGCTGCAGCTTGATCCAAGATTGGAGGTTCGTACCTCGCCCGATGGCAAGAAGTTCTACTTCGGGCCTCGAGATGGATCGTTTCTACAAGAGCCGCGCTACTACGAAATGAACCGGGGTGGTATTCTGGCAGAGACCATGGGCCTGGGGAAAACGGTAATTTGCTTGGCCGTTATATTGGCAAGTAAGGGCCATCTTCCCAAAGTTCCAGCCGCATACCGACCATTACCTCCTCTTCGCAAGCGACCCGGATCGTTGGCAGACATGGCGATCTCTTCCGCTGGCCGACATTCAATCCCAATGAAGTCCTTTCTCGAGCAGTCTGAGGCGAACGGGGCTGGAGATATGACAAGCATCAAAGATGCGCTGGATCGAGATGTTCCATTCTACGAGATACCACCAGACATCCCACGCATGAATAGGAATACCCGAATACCGCCAACACGTCAATTAGTGCTCTCTTCCGCTACTATCATTGTCGTACCGCCGAATTTACTCCACCAATGGCAGTCAGAAATACAAAAGCACGTCCTTCCGGGTGGCCTCAAGATTCTCGTCGTTGATT